ACCTGGATGATAGTTGGTACAATAGTGTGGCAAGTTCCAGAGTATTTCCTGCCCATGGCCAGAAATTTATGCCAGAGTAGGGGGAGGGCATTGTGGATTCGATTTGCAGTATGAGCTGCAGTGAATGTTGAACTCGATTACAAGCTCGGACAGATCTTGTTTCAATGGAGACATTCACTTTGGATTTGTTATTCAATGGCTCAATCTCACTTTGTGTTCTGTAAACATCTGTGTATTGGGTCTACACTATGTAATAGAACTATTTTAAGGCAAATGTGCGAGCAAGCCCATTCGAAGGTGCAAGCATGCTGAGGTGCTCACCAGAAATCAACCAAAACTTGAAGCTGTATTGAGTGCTCACTTACTTGCTTTGACTCAACTTGCATCTCACTACTTCCACTTACCTTCTTGTCTTTCTTAATCCTCTTATGTTGAAGAAAGGCAAGTGAGGATGACAAGGGACATACTCTAAGGCCTACAAGAAGGTAAAATTGAAGCCAGTGATTAACGACACAAAACTATCGGGCACACGAACCTTTGTTCTCCATGGTCTGAATAATGGCCACCTAGGCTGATAATGAAATGATTCCCTTTTTATAGCTCTCGAGGATACTGAGAATCTGCTGAAAACTGAAGAAGCACCAACTCTTGATGAAGGAGCGACAGCTTTTGCAGAGCTACAATTCCTGAGGTACGAAGAGAATCGTTCTTATAAGTAGTGGGCCTTTGGAGGCTGACCTGAACTGTGACACACTTTTCCCCAAACTGTAGGAAAATCCTAGAGGTAGAACTTAGCTACAAACATTCTAATAACTCTTCTTACCCAACTACAAGTTGACTATAGGTAGACATTCAAAACAATTGTATTGAAAACCAGTGCAACTTGTATAAATAACCATCAACAGATGCATGGCTGTAGTGCTTAGATTAAATAACAGATAACAGCTATATGTCAAGGAACATTGAAATTACCTTCAATGGAGTGTTGTACTGAGTTTGATGCATTGTAACCATTACTATTGAATTGAAACCAAAAAATAGACCTAGTTAGCACTTTAGAACATTCAATTTCATTAAGATTTGAGTGATAAACCACTTTTGCAACACTGAGGTGAACGGCAAGAAGACCTGCTTAGTCAGTTTCCTAATTTGGGAACTGACTTACCTGAGGTACTCATAGTTATCTCGGCTATGTCTCTAATTTTTTCACTTTTTTTGACCTTTTAAAAAAGATTTCTGAGCTCAAACTATACTTGCCCAAATTGGAAAAGTTAGAAGCCTTTGAAGTTACAATTCCTATACTACAAAAAATAATGCATGAAACTACTACAAATGTGCCTACAAGAATTACTATAAAAATGTTACTAATGTGCCTGTAAGAATCATTTAAAAAATGACACTAGAAACTGTTACAAATGTGCCTGTAATAATCACTACAAAAAATGACCCTAGAACTGTTACAAATGTGTCTACAAGAATTACTACAAAAAATAACCTTAGAAACTGTTACAAATGTGTCTATAAGAATCACTACAAAAAATGTTACCAATGTGACTGTAAGAATTACTATAAAAAATGCCTCGAGAGACTACTACAAATGTGCCTATAAGAATCACTTCAAAGAATGAGATTACAAACTGTTACAAATGCACATGTAAGAATCGCTACAAAAATGACCCTAAAAACTACACACCTTTCAGTCATGTTACCTGAACTGAACTCCCATTTACCCTGACATTGTCATGAACTGAACAGCCAGCGGACGTTGGCCCATTGTCACCATGTTGACCTCTACCAGCAGTGGGCCCATATCTTTCATGTGTGGGATACTAGCAGTGGGCCCACCGCTAGTGTTCTTCTCCCAGTGCTCAGCCCACTAGCAGGGCATATTACAGTGTTGTAACCATTAAGCAATGGGCCCACCGCCACAGGTCAAAGGGTGGGCCGACACCAGAGCATGTTATCGCCATCAATGGGCCCACTGCCAAAGTATGATCAATGAGCAGTGGGCCCATCGCCACAAGTGTAAGATGACGGATGGGCCCACCGCCAAAGGTCAGAGTATTGGCCATGGCCAGAGCATGTTTGTCTGAGCAATCGGCCCACCGCCAGAGTATGACAAATGAGATGATGGATGGGCCCACCGCCAAAGGTCAGAGTGTTGGCCATGGCCAGAGCATGTTTGTCTGAGCAATCAGCCCACCACCAGAGTATGACAAATGAGCAGTGGGCCGATCGCCCAGAGTGTAACCTGAAGGATGGGCCCACCGCCAAAGGTTAGAGGGTTGACGATTGCCAGAGCATGTTATCGCCAGCAGTCGGCCCATCGCCAAAGCACCCTCAGTGAGGGCCTTACTGCAAGCACCCATGGGATAGGTCATCGCCAGGACATGTTTCCGCCAGCAATCGGCCCACCGCCAAAAGCCAGTGGGTTGGCCAACGCCAGAGCATGTTTGTTTGAGCAATCGGCCCACCGTCAGAGTATGACGAATGAGCAGTGGGCCGATCGCCCAGAGTGTAACCTGAAGGATGGGCCCACCACCAAAGGTTAGAGGGTTGACGATTGCCAGAGCATGTTATCGCCAGCAGTCGGCCCATCGCCAAAGCACCCTCAGTGAGGGCCTTACTGCAAGCACCCATGGGATAGGTCATCGCCAGGACATGTTTCCACCAGCAATCGGCCCACCGCCAAAGGTCAGAGGGTTGGCCAATGCCAGAGCATGTTATCGCCAGCAATCAGCCCACCGCCAAAGGCCAGTGGGTTGACGATCACCAGGATATGTCATCGCCACCAATGGGCCCATTGTCACATACAGCCCTGCAGTTTCCGGGTGCATTGGTGGTGATGACGTGCTCTGGTGATCGCCAATCCTCTGACCTTTGCCGGTGGGCCCATCACTCACCAGCACTCATGGCGGAGGGCCAATTGGTGGTGAAAACACGGCTTGGCGATGGCCAACCCTCTGACCCTTGGCAGTGGGCCCTTTGCTGGCGGAGCGCTATTCCCATGCAGTGAAGCTTTCACTCAGGTCCTTTGGCGATGGGCCAATTGCTGGCAACAACATGCCTTGGTGATGGCGAGCGCAGTCCGCCCATCTCAAGAGTACACTGGAGGAGCGATGGGCTTTAGAGCTTAGTGATGCAGAAGTGAATGTATCCATTTTGTACTGGTATACAAGCTGTTACATAGCGGTCATATATTGCTAACACCAGAATGCTCAAAGACACTAGTTCAGTTCCTGTGATACGCCTCGCCATGAATGTCCCTCAGAATGTACCCCATTTGGAACACGGTCGAGCTGGCATTGAGGTTCGCAACGTGCATATCCTCAGTGAGGTTAAGCTCACACTGAAGACGTACAATGCGCTCCCGCAACATGGCGCGATGACGACTAACCGCAAAGCTATCACCTTCGTCATCGTCCACTATGAATAAGGTCAACATCAGACTGAAGGTTGCCAGGGATGTACTCACTGGAACTGTCTGCCTCTGCTGCGATCTGCGCAAATGATCTACCGAGGCGGGCCACTTGTGAGCCAGAAGCGGCATTCATCTCTCCAGGGACTGCCATTGGCAGCAGCTGTGTGGTATCTGGGAATAAGCCTGGAACCTGTTCCCAATGGGTGGGACGATGGATCGGCAGCTCATCTGGAAGTGCTGCCAGACTTGGCATCCTGGAAGTAACAGTGACTGGCTCGATGCTGCCTTTCATATAGTGAATGACAGGTGCATCGTGGCGGAAATTGCTGTCATCGAAAGTGCGAGCTGGCGAGTGAGAGGGCACCGATGGCGGAGGCGGTGGACTTAAAACATCGTCCAACAAAGGCCGCCTCTTTGGAGGTGAAGTGCTGGGACTATTTAGCCACCGGACCTGGCTACGCACAGGCGTCGCGCCAGGGCTGTCTATCACCAGAGCTCGCCGTCGTCCTGGCATGGCGGGAGGACTATTGTCAAAGTCCAGCAGTTTCGGCACTGGTTCTGCATCAAGTGTCTCGTCCACCAGCATGCCCCTCGCCATCGGCGTACTTGCTTGACTATCGAAGTGGATGGATGTACGTGGTGTAGCGTCAAGGGGCTCAGCAATGAGCGATCGTCGAGGGAGTTGGGAGGTGTCAGGAGTGCAAAAGTCGAAAGTGTGAGCTGGTGGAGGAAGGGGAGTAGCTTCCAACAGGGCGCGTCGAGGGATTGGCGAGATGCCAGGAGTGTCGAAGTCGAACATTCCACCAGGCGCAGTGGGGGTGAAATCTGAGATGAGTGCATGCCTATGGATTGGCGAACTGCCACGACTTTCATCCCAAGCTGGCGCCAGAGGGTCAGGAATAAGTGCGCGACTTCCCTCCACAGGCGCCACAGATCCAGATGATGCCTGTACCTTTGGCGAGGCGTGGTGGTGGAGATGCGCATGTGGCGAGTTGGATGGCGCAAATGGAGCCACCAGGGACGGGGTAGTGTGGCGGGGCGCGAGGGGTGTCTGAGAAGCAGAGTGGAGAGGCAAGGAGATCTGGGCAGATCCAGGAGAGTCAAGGAGATCCGAAATGAGTGGACGACGGGGCTCAGCGATACTATCCTCCTCATCCGACTCGCCCATCGTAATGTCCAGCATATCAGGAGGTTCCGCATCACTGGCCATGGCAGGTAGATTGTGGCGAGCAGACAAGTCTTCGATCAGTCCTGGATCGCGGGAGATCAGTTGTAGAAAGGGGATTGATATGACATAGAAAGGTCAGATAACATCACAAAGGAGTCAGATTCCACAAGGAGAGCAATAGAACTTACTGTTGGGAGCCATGAGAACTTGTGGCAGGTCACACTGACCTTGAGAGACTTGAGAAATCGCGCAAGTCCAGCGATCACGTGCAAAGCACGTGGTCGCATGGCGTGTGAAGTTGAACTTGGTGCAGATCGCGTCTGCCAGCTCATAGCATCGTCTGCTCCGCCTCCACTGTACTGCAACCTCTGCTTTTGAAACACCCTCACGCTTTCTTCTGCCAAGCTCACCATGCCTCTGGATATCGACCCCAACTATGTTCTGCAGGCCGCGCGACTGACAGCCATTGTTGCAGCGGCGCCTCACCAGGACGACCCTCGCTATCCGGACTGGGAGACGAGGATTTACCTCGAAGTGGTAAGTCATCGGTCGAAGGTCTGGCATGCACTTACCGAATATGCCACACAGAGTCAGCTTGAAAAGAGTTTCCCGCAGCCCTTGAAGTCGTTGAGGATGCCTGGGATCGTCATCAGCGCGTTGCTGGAATTCACCCGGGCATACCAGCAGAAGGCCCTGGCGCGGCTGGACCACATATTGAACGATGATGAGAGGATATACAAGAGGTACCCTCTGGCTGTGCACGAGTATGGGGAGTGTGAGGACCTGGGAAGGCAGTGGTGGACTGAAGGTGAGTCACAAGCATTGTGAGGCGTCGAGCGACACACTGACTGCACCAGATCCATATTGCAAGCTGCCACCGGTGAAGAGTATGCCAGCGAAGGGCTGGGGCAATGTGCCAGCCGATGACAACACCCAGGGACGTGGCGAGGAGGACCTGGCTACCGGGGACCTCGTCACCAAGGGGAAAGGCAAGGAGAGAGCTGACAACGACATCGGGACAGGCATGGTGAGTGAGCGTATCGTCCACGTGGAGGCGGGGGAGGACAAGGGAAAGGGCAAGAGCAAGGAGAAGGCGCAGGGGAAGGCGGCGCATGCGATGAGCGAGGAAGAGGATGGGGGAGAGGGAGAGGGAGAGGGAGAGGAGCAGGAGGGCGAGGATGACGATGATGCCGACAGTGACGAGGACGACGATGCCGACAAAGATGACGATGATGAGATGGCAGAAGACGTGCCGGGTGCAGGCCAGCCCGAATCCATCGAGGTCGATGCGGCGTCGCCCCCTCCGCCAACTACCAGACCAATATCGATCTCGCCAGCTGCCCCATCACTCCGAAAGTGCAAGGCAGTCATCACAGAGTCGAGTGAGGAGAGTGAGAATGAGGAGGCGGCTCCGAAGGTGAAGCGGATGAAGCCGATCGAGGTCGCAAAGGAGAAAGGCGAGGCCCCAACCACCTCTGGCCGAGTGCAGCGTGCACAGAAGAGGATGGCGCAGACCGAGGTGGAGGGCTCGAAGGTGAGCACGAAGAAGAGCGGGAAGAGGAAGGCGAAGGAGTCAAGTGATGAAGAGGAAGTACCGACCGTCAAGCCGCCAAAGAAGAAGCATGCAACGAAGGAATACAAGAGCAAGGAGTTCATCGAAAGTGAAGACGAGACTCCGGCACCGCCTTCCAATCTACCCACCAAGACTGCAGGGGACTCTAACGACGGTGTTGCGAAGACGAATGCCCCTGCCAAACCTGTCAAACAGACAATGAGGATAACAGCGACACCTCATGTCGCACCGAAGGCGAAGGCAAAGGGGAAGGCAAAGGCGACGGCGAAGGGGAAGGCGATGGTGAAGGCGAAGGTGAAGGTGATGGTGTCGCAGAAGGACATGTGGAAAAAGACATCCACCCGCGTGTCTGACTTCATGTGGGCACATGCAACAGATTTGGTGAGTAACGATCTTGTGAGACATTGACCTGTGCTAATGTTCCTGCAGCTCATCCCTTGCGTTGGCTGCCAGGAGAAAGAGTGGCCATGCAAGCTCAACACCGCCAACTTCGGTCGCTGCCTCGAATGTGCAGCACGAGGCATCAGTTGCAGCATCGCGCCGAGGAACACGGACGGCATGCCCCTGCGAGGAAACTCACACACTGCACAGCGTGAGTTCCAAGAGATGTGCGCAGCGCTGGTGGTAGAGGGCAAGCCACTGCCCACGTCGCCACCTCCATACGATGTCAAGGTCGACTCCAATGAGCCCGACGGTGCAGAACCCATGGTCATGGGAGTGTCGAAGCGCAAGCCGCCGAAGAAGACCAAGACGTGCAATGCTGCAGCATCCAGCTCCAAGGTCAAGGGTGGTGAGGAGGTCGAGGCGACGAAGCAGAAGGCGACCGTCACGCCCTATGAAGCCAACGCTGAAGGCGAGGCCTCGGTGGAGAAATTGTCGAAGTCCAAGCGCGCCGCCAAGTCCGCCACCGCCACTGGAGCTGTGGCTCTGTCCAACTCTGGCGAGGTCGCCAACTCTGGCGAGGTCTCCAAGTCTGGCGTGCCTGCCAAGTCTGGTGCGGTCGCCAAACCTGGTGAAGGTAAGAAATCAGGACCCAAGGCAAAGCCGGTGAGGAGCCAAAACTCAGGTGCGCAAGATGGTGGCGAGGTCACCAGGACCTCAGTACGTGAGCCGGATGAGGTCCCGCCTGCCAAGTCTGTTGCGAAGGAGGGCAGGCAGATGACAAGGGTGGCGATGGGAGGTCGCTCGGGCCCAATGGTGCCCGTGATCACCAGGAAGGCGAAGGCGAGTGCTCCCAAGGCAGCAGCCAAGATGCCTCTGGCGGAAGGCGATGGCATGGAGGAAGCCGCCAGGCTGGCAATGGAGGCGGTGTGGGCTATGGCCTTCCAAACAGGGCCAGCTGCTCCGCCGCAAGCTAGCAGCAGCAAGCGCATGCTGACACCAGTCGCCGATGAACCAGAGGATGCGCCAGAGTATCAGGCAGAGGTGGCGGAGGATGAGGTAAGCAGGACATCTTGTCGCAGCTGGAGTCGATGTAACCATGAAGCAGCGCGCGTCCTTGGAGCGGCCACACGACGATCAGCGGCGTTCACTGCTGATGCCCCACGAGATGAGCGCAGGAGCTGCCGAGGTGGCACAGGAGGTGACGCCCTCCCTGGAGATATCTAAGGCGTCGAAGGGAGCGAAGTCCTCCACATTGGCAAAGGCAGGACATCTCGATGAAGGGTGAAGGCCAGCTAAGAGGGGCGCCCCACTGGACCGCAAGGCAGCGAAGAAGGAGGCGGAGGCAAAAAGGGATGCAAAGGCGAACCGCCTCAGAGCAGTGCCTCCGACCAGCAAGGGTAAGTGCGCCCGCCACAGCTTCGAATCCATGCAGCGCTGACCAGGGATACAGCACCCCACTTGTGCGACGTCCAGTGAGTGTCTACAGGAAGTCCCACTCTGGTGAATGAAGGCGACACCCCCAGTGGCGAAGAAACCTCGCAGTCATCCAACGATGACTGCGCGAATTGTGCCGAGTTGCGACAGGAGTTCCTGGCGCACAAGGACGGGATGGAAGTCCAATTCCAGGAGAGGATGGCGGACCTCAACACCGTCAAGGCAGAGATCACAGCGGCGCTCCAGCGAATCAACCCGCCATCCACATTTCAAGAAAATGCCCGGAGCATTCGCGAAGAGGTCAAGTTGGCGATGGAGGAGTTTCGCAGGCCGGTCACCATCGAGCTTCAGGAGAGCGTGAAGTTGGCGGTGGCGGACCTCGTTGCCAAGCAACATTGCCTGCCAGAGCTCAAGGAGAAGGTCAACAGGTTGGAGCAAGGCATGAACCAGACGGTGAGCCAAGTGGACGTCGACAAGCTGCAGGGCGAATTGGCCGACCTCCGTCATTCGATGGAGCTCCAGGCAGCACGGTCAGACAGCATGGAGAAGGAGCTCAGGTCTTCGGCGGCAGAGGTGATCACTCAAGCGAGCAAGCTGGAGATGGAATTGGTGCTCGCCAAAGAGGATTCAATGGCAGTGGTGATGTCTGCTTTGGATGAAGTGAAGAAGGTGGCGATGGCGAGAGAGGAAACCTCGCTGGTGGCGAAGTCTCTGGATGCATTCCGAGAGAAGGTCGACTCCGCCATGGTCTTCACTGCCTTTCGCCCAGATAGCCACAATGTGTAGTCATTAGAGTATTGATATACATGCTTTTTAACCTAGCATGGAATCTTCATGCACTCAATTCGCCACTGCCACTCCAAGTCAACTGAATGCCTGCTGAAGTTCTTGCCAACTCCCCTCGCCATTGCCACCATCTCCATGGCTTTACCTATGTAGATCTATGGGTCACATTAAACAATGTGGAAGCCTACGAGTCTACTTTGAACTGGAGTTATATTGTCAAGGTCTGGTGCTGCCACTGCGGGTCATGCGACCTGCGCCAACTTGGCCACTCTCTTTCACTTTGGCGGCTGCTTTCCCCAGACGGACCGGCTTCAGCTTGGTTTCTCCCTTGTCCTTGACCTCCGGGGTCTGAGGCAGAGCTCATCTTCGCTTTGCGGGAGGCTTGTCACCATCATCCGAGTCCTCGGCCCTCGCATTCTTCTTCCTCGGCGAGGCCACTACCAACTCGTCCCGAGTACCATGTCCACGCTTCCGAGGTGGCGGATTGTCTTCGCCAGAGCTGTCTTCACCATCGGGCTCGGGACGTGCTGGTTGACATTTCCGCTTTGGATCAGGAAGCTTCTTCAAATCTTTCACAGCTCCTAGTGGATGCTGACTGCGGGTATTCTTGGCGGGCGACTCATCCATCGCTTGACGCTGACTGCGAGTTATCCTGCTGGGGATATTACTCTGAAGGGCATCGGTGATCGACCTTCCCTGGAGCGCTTTGGCTTGACCTGATGGACGGTCTTCCTTGGCTGTGGCCTTCCTCGTCTTAGGTATAAATGGAGGCGGTGGCGGTCATTCAGCATCACTGCTAGGTACGGACAAGTGTGCATCGTCCTCTTCGCCATCGTCAGAGGCCTCACCACTGGTCTCCTGGCTCGGCCCTTCGTCTCCTCCACTTGGAATGATTGGTTTGTCAGCCATGGGGGCAGGCTGGTGAGCCTTGTGAACTTTGGCAGCAGTAGCAGCGCCATCGTGAGTTCTTGCAGAGGCATCACCTTCCTGCTCCTCCTGGCCCCCAAGGCCATCGCCACCTTGTGGGGCACCGCGTATGGCAGGCTTGCTCACTGGCTTCACCATGGCATGGGTGATGTTCCCTTCCACCATGTCCAAGGTAATGATCTCGCAACAGCGAAGCAGCTGCTCTACTGCGTCAAATGAGATCGCCGAGTTCACCACATAGTCGGGAAGGTTGGTCAGTTCGCCCTTCTCAATGAACTGAGATCGTGTGAGGTCCCTCAGCACCATACCAATCATGAGTGCAGATTGTTGTACGCCCTGTGGATGTAAGAACCGATATTTTGTCAGCCATGGTTTGTCGCCCAACCAGTTCTCGACAATGTCAAAGTTGTCCACCGCATGAAATGACGGCGGGAGGTAGCGCTGGCCATACGACCATTCGCTCCAGGGAATCGGATCATACCTGGTGAAACGATACACCTGGGGCTATATGACAGATGATCAATAGTGGCTATGAATCCCCACAAAAGGAGCTCACCACAGTCGCAATCTTGACTTCCTTCAGCATATCCTGGTATCGCGGTTCGACGGAAAGGGTGGCGAGAAACATGTCTCTCCTTTTCACGAGGTGGGGCACAGTACTCCCCACAGTACTCCCGCCAGTGAGACGTGGGGCTCGGCCTTGAAGCTCAAGCCTGAGCTCCTTTGTACTGGGCTCCAGTTCACTCCATGCTTCATCGGTCTCCTCTGTGTCAAATCTGTGCAGTTCGCCCAGAAGAAGGTCTTGGAGACCTCGCTTTGCCTTCGTCTTGGCACCGCTGCTACCACTCGCTTGAGGTGCACCACCATTGTTAGCCTTACGTCCATTGGTGGTGGTGACTGCCTTGCCCTTCGCTTTATTCGCAATCACGCTCTCGCCATCCCCTAAATCTTCATCGCTGGCCGTATCTTCTTCGGAAGCTATGCTGGGTATATCTGGCGAACTCCGATCAGAGTCTTGGCTGCTTCTGGCATCATCTTCCAAGTCATATGCATCTTTCATCTTGCATTTACGCCCACCGCCTTTGGCTCCGCCAGGGGCCGCTTTGCCCTTTGTCGCCTTCGATGCCGCCTTTCCCATGACCTTGCGCACAGGTTTACCCTTCTTCTTCGCCTTCCCCATCTTCTTAGGTGTGAGTGCTTCTTGGACCTCATGTTCAGATCCTTCTTCTAATGCCTGTGCTGATCCGTCAAGTGGTGGAAGAGGATCATACTTGGCGGGAGCAGCTTCGCCATCCTTGTCGAAGTACTGGGTGAATCACATGGTCTGCTCAGGTCCATGTTCCTCTTGGCGTGCCCGCCAGTGGTCGAGGAGGGCAGAACGGGAACACTTGTCATCTTTGAGGGATCGATCCACTGGAAGTTCTCAGGTAGCATCTCCGCTAGAATAACCTTGTTGATGTCGTCTATGCTGTTCAGCTTCATCCATGGCGACTTGCAGTTCCGAACACCCTTCGCCAATGCTGTAAACTGGTCAGCATCTCTCAACACCGAGTGGGAGTGTCATACCGTAGTGATGATTCATGAAGTCTCGAACTTGTACCTTTATCACCTTGAGAGGCGCTTCCGCCATACCTTCGGGCACCGACGGGAGCAGAGGAAAACTGTTGGCCGTCAACTGAATCTTGTCCATGGCCCGCATGCAATCGGCAGGTGTCTTCTTCACCGTCACCGTAGTCTCAGTCACACCTAAGGAATCAGGTCAGTGTGCCAGCGACAATGCAACTGAGGTCTTCTTACCGTATTCGCCTTTGGCCCACTCAGAGAACACCTTTGCTAGAGGCTGGTAAGCACACAGCCACCCAGGATAGGCCCCGAATGGAGTTCCATTGGTGATGGCGTGGTTGACCTCCACCCTTCACTTGGGAGTTAGCAGATGGCGACAGTCGGACGGTCTACGCTCACATCTCTACCTTCAGACTCCCCGCTTCCTTCGGATATGCTAGCATGAATGCCATGTGAATGCCCATGGTGTCCCACATAGTCTTGGCAAACTTCTTCAGATATTGCATCATTCGCTGCTCCCTCAGCCTGTCTTAGGTCAGGATTTGCCTTATGCTACGTGACAGGAGGTATGCACTTCATTTTCGTCTTATCATCCAGAGTGCCATTGCACCAACTTTCTGCCTTTTCCTCATACACCTTCTGCTCCTCCTCGGACAGTTTTGCCCATTCAGCACTCCGTGCGACTCTCCACACCTTGGAGACATTGCAACCCTTATCTGCCGTGAGTGCTCGCACAGCCTCAGTCACCTTGTCCCTCTCCAGCGCATCCCACACCTTGAAGGCATTGGGCTTGCCAGAAACATGCATATGCTTTTTCGTCGCTTTCTCCTGCGCATGGCGAGCGTGGTTATTGAGCCACTCTCAGATTTTCTGCGGTGAGAGTTAGTGGGGACCTCACAGACATGAAACACTGCTCACAGTTTCCACAATGATGTCGTCATAATTTGACGTGTCGACAAACTGTGTCTTCAGCTTCTGATGCAAGCTCTGAACCAGAGTCTTGTGTCCCTTGGCATCTGCCGTGTCATAAGATCGCAGCTTCTCAGAGAGTATGGGCTGATGCTCCGTCAAAATTACAAATCTCGCCGCTTTCTCGATGTCGAGGATGAGATTTTTGTGTTGGGACAGTGAAGGGGGTTGATAGTTCAACGGGCAGCGCTCTGTCCATTTCCTCGTCGGCCGCCCACAACTCAACATGCACGTGCTGATGGCCCATTTGGGCTTACACCAATTACCCTCCTCGCCATGGTGTGTGGTGACTGCTGAAGCATTGTATGTGTATTTTTCGCAGTGGCGGGAGGTGGTAGTAGGTATGCACTAGCATTCATGCCTGGTGAAAGGCAATGTTGAATGCCGCTTCTATGGCAGAGCACACCACGCCAACTTCATCTCACGAATGCTGGGCGGAGGCAATCTGGCGATCATCTGCATGCCAATCTGTGGGATAAAGGGCTTCCTCGGAGTTAGGCTCAGCCAATTAGATGGCGGTGACGAAGGGCCCAGACATGGCGGACCACCCGGCCCGTGATCCGGCATGGCGGCATCAAGTCTGGCTCGGCGGCATGATGAACATGTGAGATGTGCAAGGGACGTGCTTGCAAGCAATATGCAGGCAGATGAATGCATACTGTTCTTTGCCATTCTGGCCCCTCCTACATTCTCCCCTGCATCTGCAAGCCAACCGCCTGAGCCCGCCATACACCTGTGCGTTCCTTCAACCGATGCATGCTGTAATCGTCCCATTGATTGGCAGATAGTATCAAGATGAGCAATCTGTCACCCATGCCACTGACCGATCAGATAGCAGGAGTCTTGGAGCTCATGTTCCGCCGAAAGCTCCATCTGGCCACTCATGCAGCCCATTCTGCGCCATCTATAGAAGTGCCTCCGTCCATGCCATCCGCCCTCCTATTGGAGTGCAATGGCATTGCAGATGCTCTTGTGAAGGCCATCTGTAATCCTGGTAGTCATTAGTCTTGCCGCAGGTCTGATCACACTGATCACACCATTGTAATAGTAAGGCTGCAGTGGGACATTGATAGATATTGTGACAGCCTTTCGATTCAGCCCATGGGGCAGAATGAAGTCCTCGAGGCAGAACTGGAACGGAAGTGGCCTTCTCCATTTGGTGAGAGCGAAATACGCATAGACCAGCCCGCCACCCTCGTGGACATGCACGGACGCATCTTGGCTTGGATACTTCCAAGAGTGTTGATACCAGACCGCCAGGTGAGTGGCTTGCCCAGCCTTGCGCTGTGATCTGACAAATTTGTCAGACGAAGATGCTCCAAGCGACCAGGGCCCTACACCCAGCAATAGCAGCCAGTAAGCCTTCCAGCACCACCGCCAGTTGGCGACACAACTCGTTGTACTTCTTGCCTCCTGAGGAGTGTGCCCAATTCCCAGTGGGCTCCTTGTGTCTCTCGCCAGGTTGGTTCCAACAAGTAAGAGAGGTGGGTCTCCTCGCCACGCCATTTGCCTTGCGTCTGGACAGCCTTTGCAGCATATGGAGTCTGGGAGGCTGGAGACCTCCACCAGCCTGAAGCTTGAGGGTGGAAGAAGTTGGCTGCATGATATTCATGACTCCTCCGCATTGCTGGGCACCATCCTGGCTGTCGTTCACCCAACACTATATGCCGCAGGATGCCAGTGCTTGGGTTTGATCCAGCAAGACCCAGAATTGCGAGAGATGGCGCTGAACTGGTCGTCGCCATTCAATGCGCTCCAGGTGATCGCCAACCGGGAAACTCCTTTCCATCGAGATAGCAAGACAAGATACACATTCTATGACCTGTTGGCGACGTTGGGCAACTACACTTGCACGTGGTTGAAGTTCCCCGCCATGCGTGTCGCCATCGATTATAGTCCTGGAACTGTCATAGCCTTCTGTGGAAAGGCGATTCATCATGGCGTCACTCGAGCAGATGGTGAAAGGCTCATCTATGCATACTTCATGCGAGAGGGTGTCCAGAACAGGCTAGGCATTCCGGCGCCCCACTGGATGCAAGCTTCATATTACGCCTCACACATTGGCATGTGCACAGTTCATCACCGAGTCTGCATTCCTAACTCAGAACAGGTCCTAACTGGCTCGCTTATTAGAGGGACATCATGCCAAAGACTGATGGAGATGAGAACACTATGCAGGGGATGGAGACTGTTGATGGCAGCTTCATTGGCGAGACAAAGTTGGCGGAGGTGATGGCGAAATGTATGGAGTCACAAATTTCCGAATCCTAGCTGAAGGTTGGCGAGCGCGCGGTACGAGTGTGCATTTCACATCTCGACAGTGTTCAGCTCAAGGTGTAGTTATCACTGATGGCAGTGTATGGTTGGCGGACCTCGAAGTTGGCGGAGATGGTGGCGAAATGTGTTCAGTCGAGAAGTTGTGAGTGCTAGTGGGGCAGATGGCGGCAGCATTGGCGAGCGCGTGGTGCAAGTGCACGTTTCCCTTTTGAACATTATGCTACTCCGAGTCAAGGCAAAGTTAGCACTGAGAGCGACATACAATTGGCGGACCTCTCACCAACATGGCATCCTTATCTGCATAATGCTGATATGGTGCCTAAAGAGACCACGAGGTGATAAGGCCCAGGCATTGCAGCCATTCTTAACCACCTTGATGAGTAGTCTGGTGGGCAGCAAGACCGTGTGTGATTTGCACGTGTTGTGCGATAGGGACACAATGCTCATCGATTGGCTTTGAATACGACTCCCCACTGACCTGAACCATGAGCAGACGCAACAAAAGCAGGCTCGTTGTAGACCTGGATGACGAGGTTGAGTTTGTGACCAAGGTAGCTAAGCAGACCACTAGAGGAGTACACCATGTGGACGTACCTTTGCCCATGCCCATGGGTTCAAATGTGCCATCACCTTCCAAAAGTCCATCGAAGGCTCCAGCTTCAGGCTCCTTGTTTAACTTGGATGATGGCGACGTCCTGGGCAACATAGGTGTGCCGATTCAGCTGGATCCGGCGGCTCGGAAGACAAAGGTGGGCACTCCCACCATGACCATCTGATGGTCTGACCATGCGCGATAGACCCAGAATGACTTCATGAGGGACTGGATACCCCACCGTGATGACTATCTTCATGCCATTGTCGAGATGAAAGCCCCGCCTGAGCCCAGAAACTGTGCGGAATGCAAGGTTGGCGAGGGACGGTGGCGATGCCTGGACTGTATGGGCAGACCGCTTACCTGTACCGACTGCTGTCGTAATGGCCATCAGCGTGCTCCTTTCCATCGGATAGAGCATTGGCAGGGTCAGTATTTTGAGCCGGCATCACTGTATCGGGTTGGCGTCTGCATCCATTTGGGGCATGGCGGAGATCCCTGCCCTCTGGGCACCTTCACAGCACATAACAACCCTGCGCCGGTGATGGCCCCGGGGTCCAATTTCTGGAATGCCTCTAATGAAGACCTAAATGCACATGATGGCAAGGTCTCAGATGATGGCGAGGTCCCATTCAACTTTGCACCTCTGGCAGGCACCCTTGACGGTGAAGCAAGGCAAACCGACGATGCTCCCGATCCCACTTGGGAGGAAGATGTGCCACCGGTGCTCTCCCGGCCACCTCGCCGTGATAGTTATGGGAATCAGATCATAGTCATTGTCGACATCTCTGGCATTCACCATATCGGCGTTGACTGGTGCCAGTGTGAGATGGCAGTGGAGCGTGACATGCAGCTTCTTCAAATGGGACTTTACCCTGGTACCGTCAAGGATCCCCATACCGCCTTCACATTCGCCGTCCTCAACGATTTCCTTCTGGAGAACAAAGAGTGCAAGATGGCGGCATTGAACTACTACAGCAAGCTCAAATGGGTCACGAGCAATGCCTTCCCTGGCACTGTTCCCATAAGTGTTCACATGCATTCCCATGGCCCAACCATTCATGCCAGTTCCTCGCCAGGACCGTTATCGTGAGCTGATGCGGGTGTCCCGCCAATGGCACCAACTCAAATATCGCAAGTGGCACAGCTTCTCACATGATGCCCTCTGTCCTGTGGAGAAGGGTGGCCTCGCCATCTTTTGTCCCGCCTGTCCCCAGCCTGGGCTCAACCTGCCTTTTGATTGGCAAGCGGATCCAGTGCAGTGGAAGTTCAAATGCGGCTTTGTCATGGATGGAAATTTCAGTGCAGAGCACATGAAGATGAAGCACCCCGAGGAGGACGTCGCCCTCAGTGATGGCCAGGCATTCATGGTCGGCCAAGAGGATTACAAGGCTCATCTGGCGGTGGCCATGGAGTCGCATCAGGTGCGTGTCTGGCTGCACGTTCTTCTTCCGCCCTTGACTCCTAAGCCCACCAGTGCTCCACTTGTCATGAGCACCGCACTGTCAATCAGGCCAATGTGGATCGCGCCAACCTCGACGCCACAGGAATCGGGGCCACTGCTTGCGCCAGACATGGTTTCTTCGTCCCTCATACTGTCGTCGATTTCCAGAAGGGAGAAAGGTTCGCATATGTCTCTTGTCATGATTCATTCTCACCGACGCACCCTCTGCAGACAAATGAATATGGATTACTCTCTCAGCAATGCGCTCCTGACCCTCACCGGTATCACCCTCGTCCTCATCATGTACGACATCATGTGCCAGTATGGCGTCCATGTCCGCAAACGTTTCCACCACAGCGCCTATCTGAGGATGCCCTTCGAGCTCAAGGTAGACCAAGGCATCGGCTTGTTTCATGTGCACGGACACCAAGATTGCTGCTTCCAACGGTTCTCACCCAACTTTATAGTTGGCGCTGGTATGGTCGATGGCGAGGTCATCGAGACCCTGTGGGCACCGACAAATGAGGTCTCAGGCAGTACCAGGGGCATGACCCAAGCTCATCGCCAAGAAGTCCTTGACGATCACATGAATGACTCCAACTGGAAGAAGACGACTCGCATGGGTGAGCCTGGTTCCTCCTTCCCTATTTGCCACCTGCCTTATGCTGCCTATAGTGCCAACCTTGATGATAAAGTGGAAATGCATGCTCCTGGGCTTCCCACGAAGCAAGGAGTCCTTTGAAGCTTTATCTGCATCCACAGATGAGGATGTCCTTGAGGCATGGCAGAAGGAGTATGACGATGCTATGGAGGCTCGCCAAAATGATCCGAAGATCATGAACACCTTCGATGTCCAGCTTATGAAGGGTGAGTATCCTTTCATCGTCGTGTGGCATGTAGTTGACGTGAATGCAAGCCCCAGGTAAAGACCTCACCCAACTCAGACTGGCGGGCGAGGAGTCTGCCAAGGGCTTGGAGAAGGGCACCGCCGGATGGTTGTCGACTGGCCTCAAAATTCAAGAAGCACAGTGAGTTTGCCTCATCTTAACAAAAATACAGCTCTGACGGCCTTCAGGCTTAAGCTTGCGAATGATATCCGCAAGGCGGGTCAAAATCCGAGCGTGGCGGAGGACCTCAAGACTCTCGAGCGCCGTCAGCGCCTCGAAGTCAGCATTCTCACATTCCAACATCGCTCTGAGAAGTTCATGAGAAGGTTGGAGGACGTTCCCGCCATGGAAGATCGTGACGATGGTGCGCTCTGGGATTCCTTGGATGAGAATCCTTTTCAAATACACCCGGAGGACGCTGAGTATGGCGAGGATGCGATTCCTCCCGAGCGAGCTTCCTTGAATTTACCTTCGCAGATAGGATTTGTGGCCGCCGTCGCCAACGGGCTCCAGACCCTGGCGGCCCAAGAGTTGGAGTTGCGCAAAGGCCTGATGAATGACATCCTCCACGAGCTTCACATGGCGCTTGGACTGAAGTCTTACCTCTACCGCAAGAGGGTTCGTCCCGCCAACAGCGTCGGAACCATGACCCGTGCACAGGCGGAGGTTCATGCTGCCGATCAGACCGTCTTGGCCTGCGTCAGGCTCTATTTCGCCAACCGACGCACCATTATGCGCTTGGATGCCACCGATGAAGACTTGGCCCTCTATCGCCCTTTGGATAAGAAGGACCTGCACGTGAAGACTGCCGTCATCGAGGCTAGCACCTCCGGGCTCAGGAACGTCAACCTGGCTTAGTTCTGGACCATGAATGTTGCTGGAGATCGAGGTTCATCAGAATGGATGGACGAGTGTTCGTAATTGTCCGATTAATCTCTAGGCCTCCTGCTAATTTACCCTCCAGTCTATAGAGTGAATTGGCTGCGTGCCAGAGCTCGATATGAGAGATGGAGGGAGGAGCGTGTCTTGGTCCACTCGGAAATGGCCTGGACCATAGCCACCTTCAAGCGGAATGCGGAACGATGGGCTCACTGGCTCGAGATGACGGATCCTTCCTGGCAGGGTCATGTTTGCTATGCCGCCAGGCAAGTGAGTATGTGGCGGACCTTCGCCAGCCACGCCACTGATGCCTTCAGCCACATCCTCGCTCTGGACATTGAGGACGAAAGGGCGGGCGATGAAAATGTGCTTTGAGTCAGGGTTCACTGGGGTGTACGCATATTCATGTTTGCTATATCGATGTAGTGATCATCATGTATGTAATTCCTACTCACCAATATCACATTTGGTGAAGTGACCTCCATCCTCGCCTGAGGGCTTCATCTCGGCATGTGCTCTCCAATCGCATGACATCAGACATCAGATAAGGTCGATCAGATATCAACCTCAGCTCATCCACTCACCATCATGTCTGCCCAGTCTTCAACATCAGATGCGCGCCCCTGCCTGTTCTTCAGAGGGAGGTTGCAGTTGGAAGTCTACACTTGGAGGATCCAAGAAGCTGTTCTGGCACTGGAGCCTGACCCAGATCACTTCACCAAGGTCCGTTAGGAGGAAGGCTTGCGCCGGGAGATGGTACACCTTTCTTGCTGATATCGCCTGACCCTGCTGAGTCCTGTGCAGTTCGCCGTCAGGGGTATCTGTGGCGACCTCGTGTTGGCGGGTCATGCTGACCATATTGACCATGGCGGAGTTATCGCCAGTGTCCTCACTGTCTGCACTTTCAATCGCGAAGTTCTGCGCCCCATCAGCATTGACGTCAAGGTGATTCCACGCCCCACCACCCTTGTTCCTCATCCTAAGAACCTACTCGAGGATTCACCCGACTACTGGTGGAAATGGGAGCATCAGGTTGGGCCGGTGGGGAGCCCTATGGAGGCCTGGTGGTACAAACTTGGTGATCCCTGGGTGAGTGGTACGTTCCAGCACCTTACAGTCTTGCTGAACCTCGAGAACGTAGGAGAAGGTGTACACCGTCTCTGAGTCTACACTGGTGCAGCTTGAACAGCTGCATGTTCACGTCGTGAACCTCACTAGTTGGTTGCACGAGAGGACAGATCAGAACCTGGATGTGGTGCTGGAAGAGCTGCAGGAGGCGACGCGGCAGCTGCGTGAGTTAGGAATGTAATCGCCCAATGCCAGGCGTCCGTTCGTGCCGTAGTGTGTCGAATATAAGGTTGTCATGTCTTTGAACCTGGGCAATGTACCTGGTGTGGTAAGGTGAAACATAGTAGCCACATACTCTCCTCAGGAGGGCACATCCCCAATGGTATCTGATGCATGGCTCGAAAGCCAACGCCACATGGGAGAGTTTGGCGAAGTCATTCTGGACTGCATGTTCAGATGGCGAGTGATATCCACCACAGTTCGCCAACCCTACTCACGGTGGAAAGGACCGCCATTCGTCTCCACATACTCTACCCAGAAGGGCACATCCCAAATTGTATCTGATGCATGTCTCGAAACGCCGATGCCAATTGGGAGAGTTTGGTGAAGTCATTCTGAACTCCATGTTCAGATGGCGAAGGATATTCGCCACAGTTCGCCAACCCTTCCCACAGTGGGAGAGAGTGTGATACTGCAAGGAGAGCTAATAGTGAGCTAACCAGAATTGGAGGGAATGATGGGTGGATTACATGGAAATTATTGGCTGGCAGTAGCTCCATCATTGCCCTGTTAGGCGGTGGATCAATCACTGAAAAATATGCCCATGGCGGTTGACTGATCGCTGAGAACTACACCTATGGCGGTGGTCCGATAGGTCTGAGCAAGAGGTGCCGCATGAGCAACGACTCGGCATCGGAGCCCCCTTCTTCTGTGGTGTCCTTCGGCTCGCACGCTGATTTGCACACGTCCGCATCCTCGTCTACTTCGTGCTCTTCGGTTGACTTTGGGTACAATCCGTTCACTTCGTATGGTCTACTTCTTGGCTCGGGCAACCAGGTGTGGCATCCGCCCATGCTTCCCCCTGACCAATCTCCACATTTCATACATCCGCCCATGCTTCCCCCTGACCAATCTCCATGTTTCATACATCCACCTATGCTACTCCCTGACGAATCATCCGGTATGTTCCTTCACCCACCCATGCTTCACCAAGACGACACGGACACGATACGAGCCCAGTTGACAACCTAGGGCAAGGCAAATAACTCAGCTATGCCCGGGCTAGTCAGATATTTCAGGCGACCCATGCTTATGGGCTCAGAAATATCCCTATGGCGGTGGGCCGATCGCTTAGAACACTACCTATGGCGGTGGGCCGATTGCTCAGAACACTACCTATGGCAGTGGGCCAATGGCTGTGTAATAGCCCCGTGGCGGTGGGCCGATCGCTCAGAACACTACCTATGGTGGTGGGCCGATTGCTCAGAACACTACCTATGGCGGTGGGCCAATGGCTGTATAATAGCCCTAGTGGCGGTGGGCCGATTGCTCAGAACACTACCTATGGCGGTGGGCCAATGGCTGTGTAATAGCCCCGTGGCGGTGGGCCGATTGCTCAGAACACTACCTATGGCGGTGGGCCCATCGCTCAGAACTATCACCGCGGCGGTGGGCCCATGCCTGTATAATAGTAGCATCATGGTGGTGGGCCCATCGCTCAGAAATACTCCTATGGCGGTGGGCCCATCGCTCCAGCATTCCCTTCATCGCCATGAGCCGATCGCTGACAGCTCCTTACACAGACCGATGGGCCGACGTCCACTGGCTGTCCAGTTCATGACAATGTCAGGGTAAATGGGAGTCCAGTTCACAAACATGACTGAATGGGCTGAAAACTATTACAAATATGTCTATAAGAATCACTAGAAAAAATGACCCTAGAAGTTGTTACAAATGTGCTTATAAGAATCACTACAAAAAATGACCCTAGAAACTGTTACAAATGTGCCTACAAGAATCACTACAAAAAATGTTACCAACGTGCCTATAAGAATCACTACAAAAAATGACACTAGAAGCTATTACAAATGTACCTATAATAATCACTACAAAAAATGACCCTAGAAGCTATTACAAATGTATGTATAAATATGAATCACTACAAAAAATAGCACTAGAAACTGTTATGAGTGTGCGTATAAGAATCACTACAAAAAATGGCCCTAGAAACCACTATAAATGTGTCTACAAGAATCATTACAAAAAAAAGTTGCTAATGTGCCTATAAGAATCACTACAAAAAATAGCACTAGAAACTTACAAATCTGTGTATAACAATGTATTAAAATTTATACAAGAAAATTTATTATATTATGTACTAACTTTTAGTATGTGATCTAGTTATGTCGAGTAATGATGTACGACTTGGGTGATTTAATAAAAATGTCTAGTGTCAAGCGAGACTTCAAATCTCCACAAATCCTGAGATAATCAGACTGGTCTTAAGTCAGATTGTATCTCAGTTGTTACTGAAGTAAATTAGGTGTTAGGAATAAGAATGAAGTAGTAAATACCCTTCTTGGATAAAGTACTAACTTCAGTAAAGTTGACTGATATGAGTACACGGACTCTGATATCAGACCTTGAGACTTATAGACTTAGAGACTTGGGCAATAGACTTTGTAATCCAATAAGTACAACTTTATGTACTTACAAACTACTAGTGACTTAGACAGAGATCTTACTACTTTACTTAGTAGTACTTGATTGCTTGGCACACAGTTGTATGTGAATATCAGTACATTCTTTTTTTTTTGTCTCAGGCAGGAGCCTTTATATACTAAAACTTGTGGGAAAATTAGGACAATAAGATCCAAAGCATAATAGACAGAAACAATGGAAAATAATAATAGAAGGATGAACAATTGCCTATGTAACAATAGGTTGTTCATAAAATACACTAAAAAGGGTGTTCAATAGCCAGAAGGTTCAATAGAAACAATAGCGAAGATAAGCAATAGCTAAGTAAATAATAGCCACTTGAATCAATAGGAACAATAGTTCTTAGTGTTATAAATAGTAGGCTATTGTCTTAGGATAATAAATAAATGGAAACAATAGCTAAGCTATTGTTGTACTTATTTATACAGCAAATAACAAATAGAATCAATGGAACATTTCGACAAGTTACAAAGCATAACAAACTGCGTACTGAGCACTTGTAACTAAAAGTATGACCGGCAATAATAATGAAAGGATACAAACACAATTCACTACACTTCAATCAAACCCAGCATCTTCATCTCATATTCCTCTTCTCCACAATCTACTCCTCGACAAGCGAAGTCCATTGATCATCTGCTCAGCGGATGAACAACGATTCTGGGAATAGGGGGAAGAGGACCGAGCAGGATCTTGTGCTGATGCAAATGAGGAGATTGTCTACATCGAGCAACCGTAAAGAGAGGCGAAGGCGATGTATGTGCCGATGGATGGGATTGCAGTATCTCGTGCAATGTACTCATCCTTGAGGGCAGTTGGCATGTAGGTGCAATATATTTTGAGAAAAGGTTGGCATTGTCCTTTTCTATTCGCTGCTCTTGCAAGTCGTGCATGGAGATCTTCCTGTGTAGGGTAAAATCTTTACATGAGACACAAATCGTGTGTGTCTACCACCCCACACTTGAAATACAACATCCCTGTTGTGGAGAAAAGACACATACTTTTGCGTCCAAGGTAGAACAAGGTTTGCAAGAGAAACAGGTAGTCATAAAACCCATTTGACAAGCGATGAAAGCTCGAGGTACTCCAGTACCATGGAGACGATGAGCGATGAAAGTTTTGTGCGCAATCCACTGTTCTTAGCAGGCGAGTTCTCTGTAATCCATCCAGAGATGAGAAGACAACTGTCGCGAGTTGTTTGCAGAATATTGGTGAAAAACATCACGCGTGATGTGACAGTGTCAGCACACATTGCACCAAGTAGATACTGAACTGCTGATGTCGGAGTAGGACAAGGGTAAAGATGAAAGCCTTGTACTTCAGTGTCAAAGTCGTAGGTGACATGCGGCAGGTTAAGATACGAGGAAAGAAGTTGATTGTCCATGAGTGGGCATCAATTAAATAGGAATTGGCAAACTTCAGTGGTAGTGAACCTGCGCAGCATGGCTGGAAGGATGACAATACCAAGTATAGCATGTTCAGAGTCGAAATTGGTCATCATAATGAGGAGAAAGATGGAATGGAAAGGAGAGCAACTTAGTGTAGTGCAAGGAAATGAGCAAGTAGCAGGTGTGTGTGAGCTGAAAATTGATCGCTGGCAAAAGCGCTAAGATTGCATGGAGTTTCCTAATGGAGAAGGAGTGAGACATGTGGAATCATCTGATCAGACAGCCAATCATCGGAAGACTCTGATGTCACATTTGAATCTTGATCAAATTCAGAATCGTCAATCTCGATTTGATCTAGATTAATTGCAGCACGTGGATTGTATGGCAAAATTCTAAATGCAGCATATGCTCTCTAAATAGGTGTACCATCAAGTTCTTTTACAATGTAAGCACCACTTTGCTTGCGTCGTTCATATTCATAGGGGCCAAGATATCGAGGGCGATATTTATCAGTAAGTCCCATATCTCGCTGTGAATTTCGTACTAATACTAAATTCCCTGGTTGTAGCTTTCATGTATGAAGCTTATGTGCGAATTGTTGCTCGAACTGGGCCTTTGATCGTAGTCGAGTCCTCTTGATGGCTGCTGATGCTCTTTGTATGTCCCCTGGACACTTTTTCAGCTGACGAATTCTTAACGCAAGGAGTTCAGCAGAGGATAGACCCTTCTTGAATCCACTAATCATAAATGTGGCTTCTGTCAAATCAAATGGTAGCACGGGGTCTACTCCATACAATAGGAGGTATGGACTAAAGCCAGTTGATCATCGAGTGGTAACCTTGTCTGCGAAAAAGGCATGTGGAACTTTAGAAGGCCAGTTTTTAATATTATTTCTGCAGTCTTTTAAAATTCCTTCCCGAATAGTAAAATGTCCTTGTTCTACAAGACCATTGCAATGTTTGTTATAAGGTGAGATCTTTATCTGGGGGATACCATATTTCTTCATAAGCTTCTCGAATGTGCCAGCAACTTCAGGGCCATTATCTGTAATAACTTCTCTAATATGACCATATTGGCAAATAATTTCTTCTCAGAAAAATCGAGAAAGTTCCTTAGAATTTGCTTTCTTCAG